CTGCGCGTATGGTGTTTTTATTCCTAATCCGCCGGTATTGCTCATAGTTTAAGCAACAAACTTAACTTCAGAGTACTGATAGGATCCGGTCCATTAGTGCTTGTATGATCGATCCCATCATGTGCAATTTTAGCGTGCGAAATGGTAAAACACGGGGTCGAAGGCGCACCCTATTGGTCTTGGGCTTGTTTCCACTCATCGCTAACCTCTTAGCGTGGTCACCACGCTGTTTTGGGCATAACTTTTGCTAGGAGTGTCCGTTTTCAACGTGCGAGCACTTTCTGGAAAGGTCTCAACGAGACGCACAGGGGCGCGATGCGTCGGAGACCCATCGGGGATCAGCTTTGACCTAAATTTCGCTCGTTTCTGGGCCTATGGCCTACTTTATGTCCAGCCCATTTATTTCTCATTCCTAGGCCCGTTTTGACTTCTGTTCGTTTTGTGTTTCGGACACCCTTGTGTTGTGTGGCTTCCCAACGCACTTTGGAAGTTGACGCGACCCTTTGTGCTCGCTCGACAGTTTTTAAAAGAATCAAGCACAAAACTTGCAAAAAGAATGATGAGAAGAACAAAAAGGGGTGCAACACGAGGACCTCCCAGGGGGTCACCCATCCTAGTACTACTCTCTCCCAAGCACGCTTGACTTCGGAGTTTTGATAGGATCCGGTGCATTAGTACTGGTATGATCGCACCCATCATGTGATGCGCGTGTGGTGTTTTTATTCCTAATCCGCCGGTATTGGTCATAGTTTAAGCAACAAACTTAACTTCAGAGTACTGATAGGATCCGGTCCATTAGTGCTTGTATGATCGATCCCATCATGTGCAATTTTAGCGTGCGAAATGGTAAAACACGGGGTCGAAGGCGCACCCCATTGGTCTTGGGCTTGTTTCCACTCATCGCTAACCTCTTAGCGTGGTCACCACGCTGTTTTGGGCATAACTTTTGCTAGGAGTGTCCGTTTTCAGTGTGCGGGCACTTTCTGGAAAGGTCTCAACGAGACGCACAGGGGCGCGATGCGTCGGAGACCCATCGGGGCTCAGCTTTGACCTAAATTTCGCTCGTTTCTGGGCCTATGGCCTATTTTATGTCCAGCCTATTTATTTCTCATTCCTAGGCCCGTTTTGACTTCTGTTCGTTTTGTTTTTCGGACACCCTTGTGTTGTGTGGCTTCCCAACGCACTTTGGAAGTTCACGCGACCCTTTGTGCTCGCTCGACAGTTTTTAAAAGAATCAACCACATAACTTGCAAAAAGAATGATGAGAAGAACAAAAAGGGGTGCAACACGAGGACTTCCCAGGGGGTCACCCATCCTAGTACTACTCTCTCCCAAGCACGCTTGACTTCGGAGTTTTGATGGGATCCGGTGCATTAGTACTGGTATGATCGCACCCATCAGATACTGCGCGTATGGTGTTTTTATTCCTAATCTGGCGGTATTGCTCATAGTTTAAGCAACAAACTTAAGATCAGAGTACTAATAGGATCCGGTCCATTAGTACTTGTATGATCGATCCCATCATGTGCAATTTTAGCGTGCGAAATGGTAAAACACGGGGTCAAAGGCGCACCCTATTGGTCTTGGGCTTGTTTCCACTCATCGCTAACCTCTTAGCGTGGTCACCACGCTGTTTTGGGCATAACTTTTGCTAGGAGTGTCCATTTTCAGCGTGCGGGCACTTTCTGGAAAGGTCTCAACGAGACGTACAGGGGCGCGATGCGTCGGAGACCCATCGGGGCTCAGCTTTGACCTAAATTTTGCTCGTTTCTGGGCCTATGGCCTATTTTATGTCCAGCCCATTTATTTCTCATTCCTAGGCCCGTTTTGACTTCTGTTCGTTTTGTGTTTCGGACACCCTTGTGTTGTGTGGCTTCCCAACGCACTTTGGAAGTTCACGCGACCCT